CACGGTTTCCCACTGTAATTCCTTTTGTTTTTATACTGCTTACGAGGACAGTTCCTGTCATATACTTTCTTAAATATATTTAAAAATTGCTCATATGCTTTATCTAAGTCTTCCTCTCTGTAAACTGATTCCCAGTTTTGCCCCATAAAATCCTCTTTTAGCCTCCTTACAGCATGTTCATTCGTCACCCTCCTATAGAAAAGATTTGTTTTTGGTCTCTCTTTTCTAAATAGCCCATGACCTTAAATAGATTTGGGAAGATGGCTGATTTTGAGAATTATCTAGTATTATTCCTGTAGCAGAGTATACGCTCCATCATTTCTCCACTCTCATTCTTCAAACCACTGACAATTTCCACCAAAAGACATTCACTTACATTCACTTGGTTCACATTTTAGACTAAGATACACTGAAATTGTTTCAGGAGCCATCAAACCTTCGCTGCCTCTCAGTGTCGCTGACATGAAACCACGTGGAAAAATGATTCAGCCCTCAGCCCATCTCGACTCCACTCTTCAGATTTGTCACTAGGTAACAATAATATGCTCTGGCTTGGATGGCTGGTGGCCCAGTGAAACATGCCTTGAGATAGGGTTCCTGTCCCCAGGGAGGTATAGATTTAGGCTGTGTGTGGGACGTAGTGGGGTGGAAGGCTGTGGAAGCAGGTAGTTCTTCCTTTGTCTTGTTAATCCACAGTTCACTGATACATGTTAGCAACAGTGTCTCAGTTTCACTCAACAGAATTCACCAAATTACTTCACACCATCCATTCTCTCACTCTTGCTTATTCCTTCCAGCACAGAAGCACAGACACACACTTGCATGCACACCTGACTCCCTTTCACTGCCTCAAACCCGGGCTCTGCCTCAGTCGCTGTTTGAGTGTCAGAATTTTTTTTTTTAGCTTTGCAGCCTGAAACACTGACATATGAGTCACTCAGCCTCCCCCCTAAGACAAACATGAGCCTTTGTCTCTCACTTTGCATCAATTCAAGGCCTCCAGTATTCAGCAAATGTCTTTTTAATGAAAACCACTTCATCTCATCACTCCATGAGTGTCTAATGGCTCCTGTATTGCTGCAGGTAGCAAGAAGACCTGGGAATGTCTGGTACAGAACAGCTGAACCTAGGACCAAGACAAATACACACAGGTTTGCAAACACTCGCCCACCCACTCGCACTTTACATTTCAGCCTCAGTGAATATCCAGAAAATCCGGGAGTGTGTGCAATCAGTTCGACTTCTCTTGCTCCCACGACAAATGAGAATAGTGCAAGTTGTTAGAGCAAGATATTTCTGAGTTCATTTAATCATCAGAGACTGTGAGGTGTGAAAAAAACAACAGTGGAACAAGAACAAAGCAGTTTTCAACAAAATGCCATGGGTAATAAGAACTAAGGCTTCAAAATCACACTGCAAAACAGAGTATAATCATATACTGTATATGCATAAAGTCATGCAGGGCAGGTAATGACTGTATCAGTGAAGGCTTGATTGCATTGTGATGATTATACAAATCAAGGCATAATAGGTCATCAAGCTCTCACTTCCCATTTCCTTCCCTATCCTTGTCATCTTTTCTTTCCTCTTGCATCCTTCTCTTTTTACTCCCATCCGTTTCTCTCATCTCCTTTCCATTCAATGTCTTTCCTCACCTCACTCCACCTGCCCTTCTCCTCCCTTTACCTGACTCAGCTCTCTGAGTGGAGGATCTGCTAGCTGATCCTGATCCCACACACAAAAGGAGGGTGGATAACCAGCTTCCTCTTCCATCCAGTCTGAATTGGTACTCTTCAGAATTCCCACACAATCCCATGCCTCCCAAAACTGGACTGTTACCCATTATTCCTCATACAGTCAGCCACTCATCCCTAATTTTTGGCTCCTTTATCCCCACTCCTCTGGCTTTCACATTCCTCTCACCAGCACTGAATAGACAGACATGATTCCAGTTTAGGAAATGGTACGATTTGAAGCCCTCATTGACAATCAAATACATACTGCTGTTTTTTTTTCTTTGCAGAATTTTAGTATTTACTTTAGTCTAAATGGGTAGACAGTGAGTGGTAGTTTCAGTTTCCCCATTGATGAGGCTTATCTTAGCAGCTTTGCAGATAATCTGGAATATAGTCATAGTGTGACACTAGAAAAGTGTCATGATCCTACCCCTCCCTGCCTCCAGCTCACCCAGACTCCTGGTAACGTCACCTCACCTAACTGGTTTCACCTGCACCTTAATCCTGCTCACCTGTTTCCCACAGTACATAGCAGCTCCTCACTCTGTGGGGAGCTGCCAGATTGTTCTATGCCCCGTCTAGACTTTCCAGCGTTACTAACTCTTGTGCCTGACTACCCGGAGATCGACACCCTACTTGTTACACCGACCTGTGAGTTTGCCTCTCCCCTCTTCCCCTCTCCCCGACATCCTGCCTGTTAAATCGACCTGCGATCCTGCCTTGCCTACCCTGCTGCCTTGCTGGAGATTACGACCTCGGACCGAACTGACCCTGCTTCCTGCCTTGTCCCTGAAAGACTGTTACTGTTTCTGCCTGTGTCAAAGAAATATTTAAAACCAGTTCTACTGTCACAGCTTGCTGGCTCTTCAATAGGGTTCACACACCTACCTCCACGGGAACTGTGCACTCCCAATCCGTGACAGAAAAGTAACAAGGAAACTTTAAGCATTACTAAAAAAATGGGTGCTGTTGATACACTAGTCACTTTCGGCTTTTCCCCGTTTTTAGGGGTCACCACAGTGAATCGTCACACTGACAACTCACATGTTGACATTTGGCACATTTTTACGCCGGATGCCTTTTCTGATGCAACCCTGACTCAAACCCGGGCCGCAGCGGTGAGAGGGCTACGCCTTAATTTATTCGCTCAGGGAATTTTAGTGCAAACTGCGTTTGAAGCACAGAAATCCTATGTATGCTTCCTGAGCAGGCAACCAGCTCCCAAGAGTACTAAGTCGTGTTCTTACATTAAATGTGCTGTCTCTTTGACTTTTAAGTGAAATCTCCGACGTCCTATGGGTCTCCCAATAATGTTCCCTTTGTTGTATGCTTTCCCATCTTCATTCTCCTCTTTTTTCCCCCACATTAAAAAAGGGAGCCTGTTTATCAATTACTGTCAAGTGACTCTGGCTGTGAGAAGATATCTTCTTGTGTGAACTCTAGTTGTCATTCCACCGACTTAATGACCAACCAGGGTTATTCTCTCGCTCCTCAGGTTTAATCTGCTGGCGGCTTTATGAGTGATGTAGTTGGTGTCTGATGCGAGGTCTATCAGGGTTCCAATTTTCTGCCCGGCATTGGCAGTGACTTCCATTAGCATCATAATGACAGGAGGCTCAAAGATGCCAGTCTTTTTTGACAGATTCTGGTAGTTTGCATTCTATGGATTTGATCACCAGTGGATTTTTGATGCCACCAATGTTTTCGAGATCTGTGAGGTCCGTCAGAGCCTTCTCCATAGTCTGGATTAATTTGATTACCTTTCTGAGTTGATTTCCTTTTACAGGAGGGATCGTTTCCAGTTCTTCTATTATTTCCATAGCAATTGTGGTCTTATTTCCGTACCTGTTCTCCAATACTCTGAACATGTCATTTGCTGTACTATGGGTTGACAGTCTCAGTTCTTTGATGATCTTTTCATCCACACTGTTGAGGAGTTGAATCTTTTTTACCTCTACCGATCCAGTTGGCTCTCCTTGCCGCTGTAGACTTGCCCAGTCTTTCTTCCAGCAGTGAAAGTCTCTTTTATTGCTACTGAATGTAGGTAATTTTGTGGGTTTGATCTTTACAACTGGTGTAACACGCACAGGTGGCTCCACTCTGTTACCTGCGTGCTCTGTGGCCTTTGCATCTTCTGCAATTCTCAGTGCTCTTGCAAACTCTCCTTTTCTTGGTTCAAGCTTGTTTTTGGCTGCCTTTAACTCCCTAAGTTGCTTCTGAAAGTCAGTTTTCTCTGATTGGGGGATCCAAGGTTCCCAGTGCAAAAGGACTTCCACGGATTCCTTAATCAGCTTCTCTAGAAGTGTTAAATGCATCTCATAGGCTTTACAGTTAATACTGTTTATTACAATGGAGTATGCATATTCACAGGCCTTTTCAGCTTCCTCAAAAGCAGCTGTCATTTCTGCCAGGCCACAGTTTGCCCAGAGGTGGGCTTGGACAGTCTTCTTCAAGTCATCAAGACTTGCTTCACATTCGGTGATGACTTTCTCAAGCTCAACCTCAAGTTGATCATCAAGCAGCACTTCAATACTACCATCAGATTTAGACTCCATGTCTACCAGCAAACCAGTTCTGTATCCATCATTGGCTTCAATAACCCTCCTTGCGTCAACAGAGAGCTTTGTAAGCTCTTCTTTGAGCTCTGACTTGGTCATGTTTCTTGCCCTCTGGATAAGATAGTTGGCTTGCCTTGTGAAGCCTTTTTTTTTAGCTGGTTTCCTCTGCCATGCTGTAAGGTCTGGTTTTTTGATGTTCTTAATTGTCCCTTTATTCTCTATACATCGGCAGTATTTCTCTTTTTGGACGTTCTGAAGCCTTTAATCTTCACATCCCGCTGTCACACTTGGTTATCATCTGTCAAGTTTTCCGGGGTTTTTTACTTCAAACGCTGCCCAAACTTGAAAAAGGCATAAGCTAATCACAGGGGATGCAGGAATAACTCAATTTCTTCTACTTTTGTCTCTTTTATTGAACTTCCTTCAGCAGAAGCAAACAGGTTGATAACCTTACAAAAGGAAAATGAGAAATAAAATACAATGAGCATTATTGTTGCTACCAACATTGTGAGCTCTCTAATTCCACATTTATATTGCAGGTTTAACTTAAATTTGAATGAAATACAGTGTTTATACTCTGTACAAATGACTCCACATCGCTAGCTTACATAACGCAAAGTACGAACATCGCTACTTCGAATAAGACAAACCCGCATGCTAATTAGCATATCATACTGAACGCAGCAATAAAACACTCTTCCTGTTTTACATAAAAGAATTTACATACCAGTGACATCCCTACGATTGCCACACTGGTGAAGTGTCCCCTCCTTATTCCAACTGGAGTCAAGCAAATATTTCCACAGTTTCAACACAACTTCAGCACACACTCTTCATCTGCACTCTGCTAGAGTCGGATAACCTACGCTGCACATATGTTTTCCCTCTGTCTAACCCGGAAACCGTACTCGGGTGGTTGCCCCGCCTTCCTATCAATGTTGCTTAGCAACCACTCCTCTTCTTCTCAATTACCTTTATTAATACATTTCCCCCTTTTTCCTCTTAATTTTATGTTTTGTTTCCCCTATTTTAGACTAATATTGGATTGTCCCAAGTCCAACTTTATAATTACACTTACTCACATCTGTTTTTCTGCATTTGTGCAACACTTTGCTTAAAATGGTTGCTTTTTATACTTTTGTTCTTTGTCATCTACCCTACACATTAAAATATCAAAAAAGCAAAGCAAAGTACACATTTTTTCACAGTATTTCACACATTTTCAGTGTAAACAAACAGTGCAACCACTTCTGTTGAAGACTATGGTATATTCAAACCAATCAAGCAAAGCCAGATGTTAATGTTTTCTGATAGGAGGATTTTTTCTTCTCTTTGAAACACTGCATCAAACTGGACTTAGAGAAGTGACAGACTTAAGCATAAAGAAGAGAATGAGAGAGAATAATGTAGTAGTCAGAGGAATACATTGTGTTTGTGCATGTGGAGCATTACTGATTCATACAGGGCTGTGATCCTTTGTTTTGTGAGGGTAAAGCCCAGCTCTCTCTTCTTGGACTTCATGTTTCAAAATTCATTGCTGGGCTTTTGGTAGTCTTCAAATCAAACTAAAAACGAATCAACTATTCCCTATTCATCCATCAATGATTCATTATCAAGCCCAAAGCTGGAATTTAAAGCCTAAACACACAGAAGGCTCACAGAAAGCTCTGATGTGTGTGTGAAGTTGAAAGACTGAGTGTTTGAAAATTGCCAATTCAACAAATGGTCTCCCCACAAAAATGCCTCTAAAAGAGTTATTTTGAGACATATTTTGTGTGTAGGCTATTATTTGTGAGGTATTACCTCACAAAAGAAGAAATTATTTGAAATTATTTCAATTGCATCCTGGTTTCAAGTCTGAAAGCTCTGAATAATTAAGGGGGATAGTGTGCTATTGGAGCCAGACTGCAGGTAGATTTGATGTAGGGCAGCTCTTGCGCAAACATCCCAGAAATCAAAGCCCCCTTTGACGTCTCTAAGCATTGCAGAAGTCCTTGATGAGATCATAAGAGAATGCGTGGATCAATGCACCCCTATTGGTTTGCAGTCCACCCACCTGGGACATGTTCCCTGTCAGCCAGAGAAAAAAAAAAAGATACTGTAAATGTCTGACAGCATCATTCTTTTTTCATTTGTTGTCTAGATCCCAGAGGTAGTAATTAATGTGAAAAAGTGGTTCAGACAGGCCAACGAATGCAGCTTCAAGTTAGTGACCCTGAGCTTTTATTCAAGCATAAGCTTTGATGGTTCTTTGAAATGAAACAGGCTGAGTTCATAACAGTAAGGACTTTCAGGAATGAGCTCTGACAGAAATACTGCATCAGGTGCATCATAAATATACAGTGGGTACAGAAAGTATTCAGACCCCCTTAAATTTTTCACTCTTTGTTATATTGCAGGCATATGCTAAAATCATTTAAGTATGGAGGCCACTGTGCTCTTAGGAACCTTAAGTGCAGCAGAAATTTTTTTGTAACCTTGGGCAGATCTGTGCCTTGCCACAATTCTGTCTCTGAGCTCCTCAGGCAGTTCCTTTGACCTCATGATTCTCATTTGCTCTGACATGCACTGTGAGCTGTAGGGTCTTATATAGACAGGTGTGTGGCTTTCCTAATCACGTCCAATCAGTATAATCAAACACAGCTGGACTCAAATGAAGGTGTAGAACCATCTCAGAGACGATCAGACGAAATGGACAGCACCTAAGTTAAATATATGAGTGTCACAGCAAAGGGTCTGAATACTTATGACCATGTGAT